GGTCAACATAAACCATGGGGGACGCTTGGGGATCTTGGTGACCCTGTAACCTTTCTGCTGGACAGGTAAACCGCTTTAACAAAGTAAGACAAGTGTCTGTAACAGAAGTGTTTCTTGTCAAACGGACCTGCTGTAGCGTGTTGTAGCGCCATCGCTAAAGATAAAGTTTTATAATCATGAGGAAAAAAACCTGAAATCTAAAATCATAATTATGAGAAACTGAGTCACAGTCATGAGATAAAGTTTCACTTTAAAACGTCTTACATTGCAGTTTTCCATCATGTTGTTACTTTACACTCTGTTGTGTTACAGTGTTATTTAGACATGTGTGTTACATCATAATGTGTTACGTACAATGTTTGGCATTACCATGTGTTACTTTAAAACGTGTTGAGTTACAGTACATCATGTTACAATTATCAGTAATGTTGTAATTTAACACTCTGTTTTGTTACAATTTGTGATGTCACAATGGTACTTAGAAAATGTGTTACATTATGTTTTATGTTGCAGTGAGTTAGTTGAAAACCGATTCTGTTACATCGTTACCTTTAAAAGTCTTCAGGTACGGTGTGTTGTGTTACTCTGTCTTGCGTTTTATGCCGAGTTTGTTTCTCCACAGTTTTGTTTGAACTCTTCAGTGACTTTCACTCACGTTGTTTTTAATTGTTACATGTTTGTGTTAAAAAGCTGACAGAAGGTACTAATGAGCTGCTGCTGCTATTTTCAGGAGACTGGTCGAACAACAGTGAGAATAAAAATATTATATATATTATTGTGAGCTGGATTAAAAGTCACTGAACAGAATTTAATCCCATTTGATGTTTTAGGTTCAACATCTGCAGTCCGTTCACAGCTGAGAGCAGAAGTCGGGTTACTTATTCCAGTTTACACTTCCTCTCTCCTTATATGCATACTAACAAGCTTTCAGGTGAGGAGCTGCCGCAGAGTAGTGTGTGTGTGTGTGTGTGTGTGTGTGTGTGTGTGTGTGTGTGTGTGTGTGTGTGTGTGTGTTCGGAGGAGTCGGTGTGTGGGCAGAGTCATCAGGCTGCTGGAGTGTTTGGGATCAAAGCTCGGAGCACTTGTTTTCCCTCTACAGAAACACTCGGCTTTACAGATAAATTACCCAGAAGATGACAAAGTGTCTGAACCCGACTCTCAGCTCAAGGAAACTCCAGAGCTCACTTCATTTACTCGACTCTGAATAGGTGAGGGCGAAATGTCACGGCAGAGGGCGAGTGAAAACATTTCTGTCATGAGATTTAATTTCTGTGCTTTACGAGATCTTCTGTGAGATAAATAAAGCTCATCAAAAAATAAATCAAATACTGTTGAAACTCTTTTCACAAATCCAGAGGTTTACTCACTCAGTGTCCTGCTCTGTGTCCTGAATGGATCCCTCACCGCTCTGTAGGCGACCATATGGGGGTTAGCGCCATTTTGACAGGTGTCCCAAACCTGAGCGATCAACTCCAGTGCCCCATATAGGCGACTTAATATTTCCCATAGAGCATTGCAAAATGTACTGACTTTCCAATGGTCACTCACCGGTGGTGGGCATCCCATCATGCATTGTGTCTTGCCATGTAGTGTCTGAGACCTCCAGTGATTGAGTTCACTACATAGTCAGATATATAGAGAAACCCCATATGGGGGTCAGGGGTCAGGGGTCAATTTAACTTTTGAGTTAACTTTAACAAATTTGCCTTTTTACTCAATTTTTTTAATCTCTTTCTCTCTCTCTTTATCTCTCTCTCTCTCTCTCTCTCTCTCTCTCTCTCTCTCTCTCTCTCTCTCTCCTTGTTTTCTCTAATTCATGTTTCACCTCCTCTCTCCCTTCCTCTCCTCAGCCCTCTGTGTCTCCTGCCCTCACATGGTGATATCTTCTGTCTGTGTGTGGAAGCAGCATCCATCTGAGGTTTAATGTCTTTGATTCTACCAACATATGTACATACAATATTTATACACACGGTATGGATATCATTAAATCAGGCAGGAGCTCCGGTAAACGTCGACCTTCTGTACTTCACACTGTATTGATTTTGTGCATCAGTGTAATAAACAAACAGCCCATCATTGAGAGGATTGGCAGCTCTTTATGGTATCTGCACTGCAGCGTGCTCTTGTCTGCATCTAGGTCAGACTTTTACAGGAAATGCAAGATAATTTCTGCTGCACAGAGGGACTCCAACTTTAAGAGCTTCTAAGAGAAGATTCACTTTATATTCAGAAAAGACAAAAACAACTCCGAGCAGCACTTTGTTTTGTTGGAGCTGACAAGTAACAACAACCAGAAACGCTGCGCCGTGACACGAGGAAATAAGACTCAGGAAACAGGTCTTCATTTAGTGAGGTCGCCTCCACCGCCACCAGATTCTCCCACAGTTTGATTTATCCTGTGTGACCCCCTCCATCCTCTGCCTGATACATAATTTAGAAGAACCTGAACCTGATTGGTCTCACAGTGTGAATTTGTCCCCGGATTTATAAAGACTTCTACTACGAATGTTTAGAGCAAACAAGACATGAACTTCTGATCAAACTGCAGACAGACGGAGAACAATAAAATAAACAATAAAAACACTAAGAGAGAAAAAGGTTTACGCTGACGGAGGCTGACAGGCCGTCTTTACTGTCAGTCCTTTCAGCTAACTCTCCTTCCTGTTTTAATAGCATTTGGATAAATAAAGTGTTCTGATTGGTTAAATAAATGCAGTGTTCTGATTGGTTAAATAAAAGGTTGAAGTTTGGATTTGAACTCACTCAGCTGTCTCCTCTCAGCTTCTCTTCTTCTGGTCATTTTACAGCTTTTTGCCTGTTTAGTGAATAAAAGGAGCTTTCTGATTGGCCAATGAAAATGAGTGTTCTGATAAGCCACTTGAAAGCTGCGCTGTAATTGGATAAATGAATGGAGGATTCTGATTGGTTGGATGATAAGAGCTTCTCTGCCTCTTTTCAGGGGGGAGTTTTTCTCTTTATCCTCCTCCTCTCTTCCTCCTTTCTTCCCTATTTTACTCTTTTCTTCCTCTTTTTTCCTGCTTTCTTCTACCCTCCTTCACCCTTTATTCCTTCTTTGTTCCTCCTTTTGTCCCCCCTTTGTTCCTCCTGTGTTCCTCCTTTTGTTCCTCCTTTGTTCCTCCTTTCTTTTTGATATGATAAAGCTCCAAACGCAGACACTGGCAGGTAAATTGGTGCGGTGATGAATCCTGCTTCTTCTTCTCATTGTAAAGATATTTGCTTTAATTCCAGATCGTTGGTTTTCCGTATACTTTCCTCACACAGCAGCCCGTCAGAACCGCTGTTTGATTTCTGTCTACAGTAAGTTTCCATCACTTGATTTCTTCTATATTTTTGCTCTTGATAACATCGGAGGCCTGTATGTGTTTTTAAAAATACTAAAGCCTTCACACGCCTGAGTCCTGAGGAAATGTCTTCTCTACATCCCTGTATGTTTTGCTGCAGGTGTTAAGTTCTTAAACGTCTAAACGCTGTGAAAGCTCAGTCTAAAAATATGTCTGAAAACAGGCTGACCTCTAGATTCCCTGACAGATGTGGCTTTTTAGTCCTGCAGTATTATCCAAATAAATAAGATTATAAAAGTGTAAAATCCTGGTTCTGACTCACACACGTCGTCTCTTTGTTCGGCTCTGACACATTTCGGAGGGAAAGTGCAGACGGGCCGAAACTTCGTCATTGTAAGACTGTCTGGAGTGGCTTAGAGCCTGATGCATCCTGGGTAAGGCTCTGAAAAGGGAGCTTGGAGACTCAGTGACATTTAAGATATGTACGTTTTCTTCCTGTTTCCTGTAAAACGGCTCGGCTTTGTGTCCCTTTAGACGGTGCTGTGAAGCGGCGGTGCAGAAGGACGCCTGTGAGATCAAAGCTTGGTCCTAATGGATCTTTAGATTAGAAGATGGACAGGGTGAGCTCAGCCGTCAGTGTGGAGGTCTATTCATTTACTTCTTCATTGCAGTGGGCAGTACATGTGATCACTGCTCTCAGGTACGCTCTCCTCTCAGTGATGCTTCTTTTATCCACATGAAACCAGGAAAAGTGAGAGCAATCACAGGGACAATAACAGCAGGTTTCTTCTGCTTCCTGATCAAATTGCTTCAAATAAGGGGCTCTCAGAGTTTCCAATGATGGGTATCAGCTCAGACTCACCGTTTTCATCTTTGGTGGTACTTTTTAAGGGTTGGGCAGTCTTAGAAAAAGTGCCTCATCGCTGTTGCTTGGTGACTGCAGCGCTGGCAACATACCTAACAAGCCACAAGCAATATCTGGTTGTTGTTTTTTTTTAACCAATTCTCCAGCAAACATCATCGCCCTGCAGCACACATGAGGAACGGGGACACTCATTTAAAGTGTGGATGTAGGAGCGTCAGGACAGGGCGCTGTTCCCGCTGCTTTAATGTCGCAGAGGCATAGAAATTCATTCCCTTTGACATTTGTGAGACTCGGTGGCTCCAGAGCGCAGCGGTGCAGCGAACCACCTGGTATCACAAAAAGGCACTGAATCTGAATGATCATGCACAAGAGGACATTACAGTACAAGCAAGATGACATTTTTTTTAATATCATGTTTCTCTTAGTCTGCAATTAATCAGTTTCATTTGCTTTTATGTCTTTATTAAATCCTTGGCTTCTCCTCTAAAGCGCTTCACATCCAGCTGGCTCTTGTTCTCATAAAAAGAAGTGGAAGTGGAAGGCAGCCAGCCGTCGCTCTGTGATTGAGTCCGGGGTGTGTGTGTGTGTGTGTGTGTGTGTGTGTGTGTGTGTGTGTGTGTGTGTCGTGGCCTCGAGGATGGACAGAGAAAAAAAAGAGAGGGGGGGTGTGGATGTGTGCCAGCAAGAATGACATTTCTTTTACTGAGTGTGTGTGTGTGTGTGTGTGTGTGTGCGTGTGCGTGTGCGTGTGTGTGTGTGTGTGTGTAAAAGTACGGCACAAGTGAGCTCCTTCATGGAGATTTCACGTGGGGATTCATTGCCAGGCTATTCAAAAACTGATGAAAATGGCTTCTTCTTCGCTCTGCTGCTGCAGCCTCTGAGAGAAACTGCAAAGTGATGAGAGAGCATTTCTGAAAGTTACTCTATGCAGCTTTTTTATGAGCTGGTCCCCGTGTTTAAATCAAACAGAGATGAAAATCTGGTGCCAGAGAGCCGCTCCACTGTCACGCTCGTCTGTGTGTGTCTTTATTTTCCCACAGTCGATACAGGACTCTGGTTCTGACCCAGCTCCAGCCTGTAAACCTCGATTCAAATCTTAACATTGAGAGTAAAATCAGAGACAGGCTCAGCGCTCAAATCATCCTCGTTTGGCACATCAGCGGCATTATGTGGCACACAAATATCCTGCACTGCTCAACAGGCACCAAATGGAGAGAGGCAATTATGGCTCTTTTTCTCCCCTCAAGTACTGACTCAAATAACTCAGATCTTTGACTGCACTCTGAGCTGAGCTGTGTGGTGTGACAGCTCCATTCGTCCATCTATGCTTTAATTTTGTGTTGAATGAGAACTGATAAAACCCGGAGCTTCCTCACTGGTACCGACATGAAGGTGACATCAGTTGTTGTTGGTGAAAGAATCCAAACCTGTGAAAGTCATAACCAGGATGTGCTTATTCAATCGACTATAAACAGTTACATTCATCAACCTTGCAGGCGACTCCAGATTACTTCCTGATTCAATGAATTAGTAAAATGTTGAAGTTTAGAGTCTATGTTTTAAAGTTTCCTCATGATGTTGGCCTGTTCTGCCTCCAAAATGCGTCTCACACCTTTTTTATTTCCTTGACTTTATTACTGTCACTCCATTACAGTTGACCTCTTTGTTTTCTCTTCTTCCTCTGGTGTTAAATCCATCCTTATATATACATTTCACTTGACTTCAAAGTGAACTGCTCGCACTGTTACACATCCTTGCGACTGATTTCCTGGCAGCCACAATGACTTAAAGAGACTTAATTACTGCTCCTCCTTTGGTTCTTTGAAAAATTAGTCTGAGGACACGACAGAGACTGCATCTCTAAACAGAATAGATCTTTCTTCATGACTATTGACTGCGTGTTCAGAGCTAGTTCCAGCAGGATATATCCCTGGCAGGTTGAAGAGAAGTGCTGTCTGTTACCCCCTGACTGATACTTATAAAGATTTCTCTCACATCTCCGATCACAGTCCCCGCTGTGGTGACAGATGCTACCTGTCCGACCGTGTCTCTTCTGACCTGGAGGAGGTCAATAAAGCAGACTCTCGTTTATTTCGGTCCTGTCCTTATGTTTGAAGTGAAATGCTCTCGAGAGTTTCATCACGGACTGGGCTGCTCATGGCAATGTTTAAAGATCCAACATTTCTTTATCATTTGAGGGTCCTTACACACCGGGAGCTTTTTGTCGTGCGTTTATTTCAGACGTCAATATTTTTTTTCAAACCCGTATCCTGTCAATACAAGCGTCACATCAGCGACGTTTTCCCGTCCAGCGATATTGCGGCATTTATTTTTTTCTGATCATGGTCCATTTTCTAAAGTTTCTCATACTGTGTGTCCACATCTCAGATTTCGTGTTGTTGCGACGTCAGATTCACCGGTATATCCAACATGGCCGACCGGCTGATTGTTTCCGTGTCGGAGAACAGAGTGATTTTTGATAAAAGACACAAACATTACAAAGATAACGACCTGAAGGACGACTTGTGGAGAGTCATAGCGTCGGATTTCTCCGATGACGATGGTTTGTGAGCTTTAACAGTTTGATAAACGTCTTTGTTTGAACTTTCATCTGTGCTAACGTAAGCTAACGGTTGTTACCATAGTTTCATGTGTTTATCTGGTACATGCTATCATGACAGAAAGCCATCTCAACACTAGTGTCTAGTCCTCTGCCTCTTCAAACTTGGAGCTAATTGTTTCAGCAGAACTTCAAATTGTCCAACAGACATCCAAAAATAGGTTCATGGTCCAGTTTCATCTCCTGAACCAAGCAGTGAAACTCACCAAGTTCTCTTCTTTTTTCTAATATTGGATCCACCCGTGTGCTACGTTTCTTTTTCTTTTAATAAAGCTGAAGGAGGACCAACTCACCATCACTTGAAGTTGAAGTAGACTCCATTTTTGTCTTCTCGCGGAGAGGGAAGGTCCCACCCTCCTTCACCCCTGATTGGCTATAAGTGCTGACCGTTTGGCTTGAGCGTCAGGACCGTCAAAATTCCCCTCCGAATATTTCGTAATTTTGCGTTCTACATTTGCGCCGGCCCCAGTGTGTAAGAACCTTTTGCCATAACAACTCACTCTCAGTCATTCATTCTTGTGTTTTTTGATGTCTTTTTAACCTGTAATAAATGTGTATGTCTGTTCACAGTATGTTGATGTCGAGGGCTTAACCTAAAGCTTCTTATCAGTGATTTACAACCTGTTTTACTAACGGAAGTGGGCATATTCAGCTACATTTGTGTTTCCAAGTTAGAAAACGTGTCATAAATTGTAAGAAATCGGTTGTCCAAATATGCCAATGCAATTAAATAAAACGGAAACGATATTTAACCATTTGATACATTTTCTTTCCATGTTTTCAAATCGTTAATGCCATATTTTGTTTATTTTTAATGAAATATATCCAAATGAAAAATGCCCGGGAAAATTTCAGTTCCGTCCACGCGCCGTCTTGTCAATAAAGCTTTGTTTTGAAACCAAGATGGCGGAGTACGATTTGACAACAAAAATAGCACATTTTCTGGACCGGCATTTGGTTTTTCCCTTATTGGAGTTCTTGTCAGTGAAAGAGGTGAATTATCAGGTGTATTTTATGATGAAATGAGTCAGTGTAAGTGGGTATTTTTGGTCATTTTGTCTCCTGAACGCGGTCATTGAGCGCTGACTCGTCCGAGCTGCTGTCAAACTTAGTCAAAATTAAAGCTCGTCAGCTGGTTAAAAGCAATAATATTAGATATGAACTTTCTTTTCTACTGTTAAAATTACTTTTTTAATTCATCCTCATTAGAAACGTGTATGTTTGAGGGCGTTAACGGATGTGTTTGTGTTGTTGTTAGCGGGTTAGCTTTCGCTCCGTAGTTAGTAAACAGGACCAGCTGTCTGCTTCTGGTTAGCACAGCTGTAAATAAACATGATTTATTATCCAATTATAACATCAATTATACTTGTTTTTAACGTTTAACAGATCTACAATGAGAAGGAACTTCTTCAGGGGAAGCTGGATCTCCTCAGCGACACGAACATGGTGGACTTCGCCATGGATGTCTACAAACACCTGTATGCTGACAAGGAAATCCCTCACTGTAAGAACTCTAAATGTTGCTTAAAAAACACTCATTAACCCCCCTGAAGCAGAGATGGTCATGTAAACTGTAACCATGGTGACAGTACCCACAATCTCCTCAGGGAGTAGTGTTGTGTCGTTTGCGAACGATTCGTTCAAAGGAACCGAATCTTTTGAAGTGAACGTACTGAACTGAAGTGATTCGTTCGTTTCTCACTCAGTTAGATGCTATAGCACGCAGCATTGCCAGGCGAGCAGCCGGAGAATGAGGGATCGCATGTACTGACCCCTGAATCACTTAATAAATGAATCACGCGTTGAACTTCACTCTCTGGAATCATTTTCGTCGGACTTAACTACCTTTTTTATTTTTCACTGCTAAATTCCCACCACAATAACTGGCATACAAAAGGACACAGCATGAAACAAGTAGTGCATTAAACCTGCAGCATCCTATCATTGCAGCGGTTTGTGAGGGAACGGTTCATGTTCAGTGTCTTCAAACGTCTTCTAAACATTCAGTGAACAAATCACTCACTGAGTCCAATTCACCGAGCAGACCTGGTAAATATCATACCATAGGACACTTCAAACATCATGACTTATAAACAAGTTCCTTTTTACAAACCTGTTTGTCAAAGAAACACGGACAAACACTCTCGTCTCTCAGTCCCAGAAACTTTAATCTTATTTTGAAGGTGTAACTGAATATTCCAGCATATATTCTTTTAAAAACTGTGATTGGCTGATTCAGAAAAAGAGGAAAACTGTTTTTGATGAGCGCCTCTTAATAACAGACGTTGAAGACTGATCATAGAATCTGAACAAGTATTATTTTTTAAATTTTTAATGTAATTATTTCTGTTTAATTATTTGTAAACGTAACTTGAAAACTCATGCCAACTGCATCGCTGCCTCCTCACAGATCTGACACACCTGGTCAGGGAGACCAGTTGCGTTTCTTTTAAAACCTGACATGATCGATGAACATGTGTGGGATCTTGCACTGATACTGAAATGTTCTGGCATTCAGTCTTGATGTATGTAATGACCTGTAATAACCTGTGGGCTTCTGTCCTGTTTCAGCTCTGAGGGAGAAGAGGAGTAATGTGGTGGCTCAGCTGAAGCAGCTCCAGTCAGAGACGGAGCCGATCGTCAAGATGTTTGAAGACCAAGAGACCACCCGGCAGATGCAGTCCACGAGGTCAGATCTGTTTGTCAAAGCAGCATACTTTAACACATTTATTTATTTATTGATTGATTGATTTATTTATACATTTATGCTATGACACGGTGCAAAACTAATTTATGGTCAAACCCACCGTAACCCCGAGTTAGACCCCCCCTCCAGAGATGAATGTTGTCGACCGCTTGCTTCTCTAGTTATACCAACTTTAGTAACGACCGCAGGATAGAAATACAGAGAGCCACGCCCCCAACCAAAACGCCACTCTATAGCCACAAATAATGCTCAGAACAGCACCTAACTTCATCAACAGGACATATAGGGTCACAGACATAGTACTAGACACCAAACATCTTTTTAACTTTGACTCATTTCTTTAGCAAAGAGACTAAACACAACTCACCTACTCTCTTCCAGCAGCCGCTTGTTTGTAGAGAGACCTCAGGCCAGTCCATTACAGACTACAGCGGGGTGCCGCAGCTCAAGGAAGAACATTTATGATCATTTCTGACGCGGTAGTTCTTCTGTCTTAGCGTCTTGGTCTGGTTTGACCCTAAATTAATTTTACTCCAGAATATCCCTTTAATTCTGGACAGACTATAACGAGCGTTTGTCTGATTCGTGTCGATCTGTGTGTTTAATCTTCAGGGATGGGAGGATGCTCTTCGACTATCTGTCAGAGAAACACAATGTAAGTTTGGAGACATTTACTGAAGCCTCATCTTCTTATCGTTCAGAAAGTCCACGGCGCTCCAGTCTTTAGAGGAGTGTTTGGTTTCCATAACAACCGGCTCCCACTGTTAGCCACCGGGGATGTTTTTTCCAAACCGGTCCTCACCAATCATCCTGGTGCTGATCCGAATCACTTCACTATTGTTCTCCTGTAGTCAAGTGCAGATAAATTAGTCCGTTCATCAAAGCGTTGTGGAGATCATGAGTTTTTCTTTAAGAGGAGGGTTTCATGTCAGCGTGATAAAAGAACGAGCTCGCTGTCTTCGCCTCAGATGATGAAAGATGTCGGCGCGCTCCTTAATAAGACACATTCTGTCACTCTCGCAGCGTTAGTTAGCGTCTCTGAGGGAGGAAAAGGCAAATATGCTGTTTGAAAACTAGACGTCCAGAACTTGACGGCAATAAATTCATTTTAACTGAAATATACAGCTGCAGGTAGAAAATCTCCTCCTCTTAGAGTCTCTGTAATCGTTGCTTGTACATCTTTCACTTTGACTTTCTCTCTCTTTGACAGTTTCGTCAGGAATACCTGGACACTCTCTACAGGTACGCCAAGTTTCAGTACGAGTGCGGGAACTACTCTGGAGCTGCAGAGTACCTTTACTTCTTCCGTGTGCTGGTAGGAAGAACAACCACCACCGCTCTCTAACTAGAAGAAGTTCTGCTGGGTTCTGTTTTCACATATTCACGGACTCTGTCAGGTTCCCTCGACCGACAGGAACGCCCTGAGCTCTCTGTGGGGGAAACTGGCCTCTGAGATCCTCATGCAGAACTGGGAAGCAGCCATGGAGGACTTGACTCGGCTGAGGGAGACGGTTGATAACAACGTAAGCGAAGAACAATCGAAGAAACGAAATTGCATGTTTGTTCGTATCCGTTTTTTATTGACGAGGATTTGATCAGAAACGTCCTAATAAAACGTGAAATATCGTTTGCTGTTTGTAATCTCACCTGATGGTGGTCCGCCGCGGCACCTCCAAATGTGGAGTTAAATTTGATGTGGAGATAATTTAGGAAAACCACAAGAGAAGGAGACTCTGGATTAAAGCTGTAGGACGCTCCTAAGACCTGGACGGGTCTAAACCTCGAACTAGCTGAAGGGAGCATCTGTATCATCACATCGAAGCACTTTTATCTCAACACTGATTCAGGAAGAGAGGAAGGTTGATTTTCAGACAGTTTTTCAACCTGCATAAATGAGAACACCTTCACCTCTCAAACTGCGACGTTATCGACCCACCGGGATGGAAAATACTCACAGCTTTCATCCTGAGGAGAGACCTTCGCTTAGATATTTGTGAACATCACGGCCTCTCGGACCGTGTATGAGAATCAAGTTTCTCCTCATCTGATTACCGATTAATCAGCCGATTGTTTTAAATTTTCTATGAAGTTATAAAAAATCCATATAAACTGTAGAGATACTGTAGGCTGCTGCTCTTCACGCCGACATGAAGACCGACTGATCAAACTCGGACCAGAAAAGTGTTTTTAACTACGACCCGTCTCGCCGATAAATCGGTCAGGCCCTATATTAATATAATATAATATAGTATAATAAGCATCTCTCTGAAAAGACGGAGCGTTAACAAACTTCTGCTTCTCTCTGATTCGTTCTCATCTTTAAAATCAGTCTTTGTGTGAAACTGCGAGTTCATTGTTTGGTAAAAACACTAACGCCCCGTTTTGTCCTTTCAGTCGGTGAGCTCTCCTCTTCAGTCGCTCCAGCAGAGGACCTGGCTCATCCACTGGTCCCTGTTTGTGTTTTTTAATCATCCTAAAGGCCGAGACAACATCATCGAGCTCTTCCTCTACCAGCCTCAGTGAGTCTCAGGATGATGCTGCTGCTGCCCCCTTTGGTTTGAGGGCCGTCCTTGCAGTCGTGTCGTCATCCTGTTTCTTTAACCTGAATAGGATTTTATTAGAAAGTTAAAGTTTTATTAGAAAGTTAAAGTTTGTCGCTCTTTTACAAGTTTCTCCCTCTAAGGCGCTTCTGAGCTCCAACTGTAAAAAAAAGAACACACTCTTCCTCTTCTTCTTCTTCTTCTTCTTCTTCTTCTTCTTCTTCTTCTTCTTCTGTATTCTTCTTCAGGTACCTGAATTCCATCCAGACCATGTGCCCACACATCCTGAGGTACCTTACAACGGCAGTCATCACCAACAAAGACGTCAGGAAGCGTAGGCAGGTGCTGAAGGACCTGGTGAAAGTTATTCAACAGGTCAGGTTTATAAATGTGGTCTGATGGTTTTCGTCTGAAGAGTCTCTGATTCAGTTTTTTCTTTCTGTCCCTCAGGAGTCCTACACGTACAAAGACCCCATCACAGAGTTTGTGGAGTGTCTCTACGTGAACTTTGACTTCGACAGCGCCCAGAAGAAGCTGAGGGAGTGTGAGTCGGTACGGATATCTCCCTCCTTCTCCTCTGCTGCTCGACAGCGTGTTTGTCACGGCGCTCGGGACTAAACCTCGCCTCAAAACGTGGCTGTCTCCCGGGACTGAAGGCTAATATGAAGCTTCTCTTAGTTATGGCGCTCTGATCTCCTGAGTCCTTCGCATATAACTTTGCAGCTATTCAGCCTCGGCAAATCCACGTCTGGCCTGATTTGCCGGCTCTTACTTTTATTGGGTCTGATTTTCAAAGCGGAACAGCTGTCAGATTTGGAGCTCGGTCGCCTTCTCTTCAGAAACCCTTGACTGCGGTTTTTGTGGTTGTGTTTGGGGACCACTTTGCGCTCTCTCTGAGCACTCTCTCATCAATTGGCTTTTCTTCCCTCTTGTATAAATTATGCAGCGATTGCAGAAGCCCCAACTATCCTGTCAGATACGGAGCGTGAGCGCGGTGACGGCGTTAAGCCTCTCTGTTGTCTCGTGTTCCTCTGACCTTTAATTATCAGGAGGATCTAAAATAACATGTTTTTCTAAGTTTCTTCCTCATGAGATCAACACTTCGTCTTAATTACCGCATCAATATTTTCCCAGGACGATGTTCTTAATGGAAGTCTGAGCCGTGTTCTGCTGGAGGTGAAATAATCATGCTTGTTTTCTCTCTCCTCCGATATAATGATCCTGAGTGCGGTCATAAACTCGGCGAGCGTTCGTGGACGACCATGGCACCTCCGTTAGTGTTAACCGCTGCAAAGTGCTGGATAATTGGATTTCTTACATAATAACACCCACTTGTGAAATAATGGTGCCACATCTTCAGTCCAAATCCCAGACTTTAATATATTCATGGATTCGTAAATTTAAGCTCCTCTGGAGATTTTGAGGTGGTCAAACATCCCGTCTGACGTTTCTGTGAAAACCGCAGATAAGAGGCGTCAGAATATAATCTCCTCACTCGCTCTGCAGGGACTCCAGGCTGCTGATCGCTTCATGCCTCAGACATGTTGGCTGACTGACTGCGTCTGTGGTGCAATTAAGACGGAGTAATGAGTTCGGCTCCGACCGCAGCGTGACAGCTTCTGGGTCGGGTTTGGAGCAGACGCAGCTGTGGGACGTTCAGAGACTCTGTGTTTGTTTTATTTTCCTTCGCTGCTCCGTCTGCAGAGAGAAGAAACGGTGATTACAGAACAGGGTTACAAACCAACGAAGGCCCAACATGACACAGTCACAGGTGATAATCGAAACAGTCATGGCGTTTTTACGGTAAACGGTCTGCTGTAAAATCGCACCGCTCCACGAATGTTTCTCTGTTTTTGTCCAGAATAACTTAAACATTAGTTCTCTAACTGAGGTCAGGAGGATCGGTCAGGTTCTGATGAGACCTTCTATGTAGGGCTGCATGATTCATCGATTTTAAATTGTAATCAGATTATTTAAAAGAAATTAAAATCTTTAAATCTATTTTATTCTCCATCATGTCTCACACTTCCACGCCCCCGTACGCTCGCCCTTCCTGCCAGAGCGACTTTTTCGACCCCCCGAGGGACTTATTTTTTAAAAAGCGCCTAGCGACAAATCTAGCACATTTTTCTGGTGTTTCGAGACTCTAAAATAAGAGCAGGTATCGATGTTTCTCCTCTCAACACGTAGCCAGTATTCGGCGGCGGCGGTGGGTTTGACGAAGATTATGCAAATTAGACGATAACGTCATCTACCGACTTTTATGACAGCCACCAGCGACTTTCTTTACACTGGTCTCCAGTTCCCACACACACCAGTGTAAACAAACATGGCGTTTGTAAAAGAAGGCGATAATTTCGTGGTTAAAAAGGACAAGAGCGAGTCAGTCGTGTTGAATTGGTACGACTTCACAGTTTCAGATGAAGAGTAAACCACTCCCCGCTGCGACGTCTGTCTGAAGGCGGTATCAACCCGTCACCATGGAAACAAACACTAAAGTTTTTTGTCGTATCGGCGTTTCAGGTGACAGTAAACGGTACTTTTTGAAAACGGGTCAGAGAGTGAATAAATCTGTAAACGACGGCCATTTCATCTCCGTGTGGATGTCTATCTGCATCGCTGGAAACGGTCATGTGACACACGGCGATGGCAGCTGCGCGTGTCTTCTTCTGTCGTTTGGGCATTTCCTCTGCAGCGTTACAGCGCCACTTACTGGCTTGGCATATGAACTACATCGTTTTCAGAGCGATGATAGAAAAACCTTTTATTAAAGTGAAGTTTGGTGAAGTTGTTGCTAAATAAGAAACTGAAAATGGGGGTTTCATTTCTGGCCCCACAGACGGACAGTCCGTCTCCTCGTTGTGGTTCCTTCTCCTCGTCGTGGTTCCGTCTCCTCGTTGTGGTTCCGTCTCCTCGTTGTGGTTCCTTCTCCTCGTTGTGGTTCCTTCTCCTCGTCGTGGTTCCTTCTCCACGTCGTGGTTCCGTCTCCTCGTCGTGGTTCCTTCTCCTCGTCGTGGTTCCTTCTCCTCGATGTGGTTCCTTCTCCTCGTTGTGGTTCCTTCTCCTCGTCGTTGTTCCTTCTCCTCGTCGTTGTTCCTTCTCCTTGTCGTGGTTCCTTCTCCTCGTCGTGGTTCCTTCTCCTCGTCGTGGTTCCTTCTCCTCGTCGTGGTTCCTTCTCCTCGTCGTTGTTCCTTCTCCTCGTCGTTGTTCCTTCTCCTCGTCGTGGTTCCGTCTCCTCGTCGTGGTTCCTTCTCCTCGTCGTGGTTCCTTCTCCTCGTCGTGGTTCCTTCTCCTCGTCGTGGTTCCTTCTCCTCGTTGTGGTTCCTTCTCCTCGTTGTGGTTCCTTCTCCTCGTCGTGGTTCCGTCTCCTCGTTGTGGTTCCTTCTCCTCGTCGTGGTTCCTTCTCCTCGATGTGGTTCCTTCTCCTCGTTGTGGTTCCTTCTCCTCGTCGTTGTTCCTTCTCCTCGTCGTTGTTCCTTCTCCTTGTTGTGGTTCCGTCTTCTCGTCGTGGTTCCTTCTCCTCGTCGTGGTTCCTTCTCCTCGTCGTGGTTCCTTCTCCTCGTCGTTGTTCCTTCTCCTCGTCGTTGTTCCTTCTCCTCGTCGTGGTTCCGTCTCCTCGTCGTGGTTCCTTCTCCTCGTCGTGGTTCCGTCTCCTCGTTGTGGTTCCTTCTCCTCGTCGTGGTTCCTTCTCCTCGTTGTGGTTCTGTCTCCTCGTCGTGGTTCCTTCTCCTCGTCGTGGTTCCTTCTCCTCGTCGTGGTTCCTTCTCCTCGTCGTGGTTCCTTCTCCTCGTTGTGGTTCCTTCTCCTCGTCGTGGTTCCGTCTCCTCGTCGTTGTTCCGTCTCCTCGTCGTGGTTCCGTCTCCTCGTCGTGGTTCCGTCTCCTCGTTGTGGTTCCTCCTCTGAATACAAGTTAAAGCGATAAAAAGCTCCTCCAGCACAGACAGACACGGTGTTTTGCTTTTAACGGTAGCATCCTTGGGAGATCGGGGTTGTATAGCGGCTCATTGGAGAGGCAGTAATCTCTGAAATGAGCCGAACAGATGGAGTAACACAGACTGAAAGACTCGGGTGTTGCACAGAAACATAAACTTCAGCCGCTGGTCTGGAGAAGAGGAAGGCGATGAAACATTTGCTTTGTGACCTCGAACCGTTTTCTATCCTGTAGCTTGATTGCTTTTTCAGAAAACAAGACAAAAACTCGCCTGCAGAGAAAAACACTCGTCTGAGAGAGAAAGACTCGGCGTGTTTCCGACAGAAAGACATTTACATTCTCCTCTTTCAGGGCTCCAAACGGTCCGACACGACGCCGTCTCACCTCTCAAAGAGCGGCCCACGCTCCGCTCCGGTTCTGCCTCACCTGCTCTGATCGCCAACGAACAACAAAGTTCCTTTTAAATGTCACCTCCGAAAGTCTCCTGATGGAAACCAAAGAAGACGGATGCTGCCTCCGTCCTCGTTTAGTCCCCCTGACATGTCCAGCACTCGAGGATTGGTGGGAAGACATCAAACAGTTATTTCTGAAGGAGTGAGAGAGACGATCCAGGAAACTCTGCCAGCCCGGTTTTTATAGGAACACCAACTCAACTTCAGGACTCGGACTCTCTTGGAGAGCAGTGAGTCGTTTTGGCCTTACATGAAAAATGAGAAGTGATGGAGCTCAGCAGAGGGAAACTGCTTCTCCTCAAACTGTCGTGTCTTAAAGCTTTAAATGGACGTTTGCTGTAAAACTGTCTCTCCAGGTCTCTGTTCTTCGTCCTCCGACCACTTTTAAAAATGCAGCTTCAGTCTGACGACTTTATTTCTGCCCTACAGCCTCAAACCTGGTCAAAGGTTCGGCTCCTTTTGGCTTTTGCACCGAGAAACACCAGGTGATTTTGTCCTTTATTATCAGTCTAAGTCACGTATACGTGCGCTCTCTGACCCGTTTACTGTCACCTGAAACGCCGTTTCTGTGTGGATGAAACGCCGATACGACAAAAAACGACTCCTGAGTTTGTTTCCATGGTGACGGGGTGATACCGCCTTCAGACAGACGTGGCAGCAGGGAGTGGTTTACTCTTCATCTGAAACTGTGAAGTCGTACCAATTCAACACGACTGACTCGCTCTTTTCCTGTTTAACCACGAAATTATCGCCTTCTTTTGCAAACGCCATGTTTGTTTACACTGGTGTGTGCGGGAACTGGGGAGGAAGGGGGAGGAGCCTACGGTGGTCTAGAGGTGCGAGACATGATAGAGAGGAAAATCGATTTGAGGATTTTAATTTTTTTTAACATCGTCATAATCAAATAATCCGATATGGATTTAAAATCGATTGATCGTTCAGCCCTAGCTGTCTGGTTACCTGATGCCCCCAGAGGCTGTTATCTGGTTATCTATGATACATCGCTCATATTGATCCAGGGCCCGGTGATACGGCCTCAAATCAATATCAGGATATATTGATCAGTTCACCTGGATAACGATAAATGGACGATAACTTCTCTTCTCTGCTCAGCCCCTCCCACATTAACTTCGTCTACTTCAGCCGCTACAACCTTTGACCCGTCCTCCATCTCCTCACCTGTCTTTACCTCTTTGTTACGGACTGGAGGGGGCGGAGTCACGTCTGTGACGTAGGACAGCATCTTAAAGGGACATGAGACCATAGCCTACCTACACACATCCAAAAACAACTTTAATGATTTATTGATTTATTGATTATGACACTGAATATACCGGTTTGGCCAAAATGACGTCGGTTATCGTCGTAAATTTCAGTATCAGTAAATTTTCGGTTTCTCACCCGGCTCTGTGTTGCTGTAGAAACAGACACACGAACCGTCCTGTAGGTGGAGAGAGGAGAAAAGTGTTGCTCTGCCAGTCAGATAGAAGTTTGTGTGTGTTAGTGAAGCAGAGGGACAACATGAGCACAGCTGACTCCTGCAGACTGAACAGAGAGGGGCTCATGTGAAGGGAGGTCCTGGGGTGGGGGTCTTCTCTGGAGTTTGTCTCCGTGAGGTTACTCCGTCTCCTCATTTAAAGTTCCTGCACTTGATTCACGGCCATCAGGTGGCGCTGTGAGACACTGTCGTGTTGTTAAAGCTCTGTCCTCATGTCAGTCCAACATGTTGGATGTTTTAAATTAAAGCCACAGACTCTCAGCTCTTCTCCATAACATGATGTGGTCTCCTGAGGGAAGAACAGAGACCTGGAGGAACGTTCTGTCCTCGTCCCCCTCCGCTCCTCCATATGTTGAACGTTTCCGTCTGTCGTGATCCTCTCCAGTGTTTCTTTCTTCTCTCAGGTTCTCGTCAATGATTTCTTCCTGGTCGCCTGCCTGGAGGACTTCATCGAGAACGCTCGCCTCTTCATCTTCGAGACGTTCTGTCGGATCCATCAGTGTATCAGCATCAGGTACTTTGACTTCAGGCTCAGCGGGGGGCCGTTAAAGGACACGTCTGTAGTTTTTGAAGAGTGTCAAACACTTCAGAGTCAAAAACAGGAACTCTGAGGATTTCTGAAGACGCCCCGCCCCCTGAAGGATGTTTACTGAACTGAACCCTCCCCCGCCCCCCTTCACTCTCTCCACCCAGCATGCTGGCTGACAAGCTCAACATGACGCCCGAGGAGGCGGAGCGGTGGATCGTCAACCTCATCCGTAACGCCAGACTTGACGCCAAGATCGACTCCAAACTGGTGAGTTTGTGCCGTCACTGATCCACGTTCAGTCGGAGGAGAGGAGACGGCGTGATGATCAGGATCAAATACAAGTCCTGGTTTCACTCTTTTTCACTCCTTTTTTCTCTCCATCTTGTCTCAAAATTCATCCGTGACTCATGTCGGCGTCAGAAAACATCAGAGGAATTTATCAGCGAACAAAGATCTTTATATTTGACAAACGTTTTCATGATCCTGTGATTCTGCGATGATCTAAACACACCAAGAAGAAAAGCAGAAAAATCCAACAATAGAAAGGTTTAAATAAAGAGTGAAATTCATAAAAGTCTTATTTTTATACAAACTTTAGTCTCATCAGTGTCTCACTTCATCATAATCGTCTCCGTGTTGAGCTGCGATCGATGAATTTCTCTGAATTTTGACCGTTTTTCTGTCTTTAGGAACGAAATCTCTCCTCCTCAGATTCATCATTTACTTCAGTTTGATTGACAAACACCCATAATCCTCTCTGCTTCAGGGTCATGTGGTGATGGGAAACAACGCGGTGTCGCCGTACCAGCAGGTGATCGAGAAAACCAAGAGTCTGTCGTTCCGCAGTCAGATGTTGGCGATGAACATCGAGAAGAAAGTGGCGCACAGCAACAGGAACGAGGTAACCGGCGCTCCGAAGACGGAAAACTTTACACTCCAAACTATTGTGCAAATCTATCTATCTATCTATCTAAATATCTATCTATCCGTCTGTCTGTCTGTCTGTCTGTCTGTCTATGTTCTATGTTCTGTTTAATAATCATGAGTTTGTTACAGGTGAGCTCAGGTAAGAGAAAATCTACAGAAGGACGTTCCACGTTTTATTAAACAGACGAATGTTTTTCATTAACATAAGAAAGAAAAAGGATCTTCTTCTGCTGAAAAGACTGAAATAGTTCAACGATTTGGACGAGGAAGGAAAACCTTCGATACTTCATGAAAACTAAAGTGTTACTAAAGGGTTTATGTCTGATTCAGAGAACACGTGTTTGTGGAGATAAAGACTCAATGAGGAACGTTTCTGACAGACGAACACATCAGTTCAGGAGAAGGTGGAGATCTACGTTCAGCTGAACTCTTCTGTCTCACTCAGTTTTACTCTGAATCTCGTCTGTTCGGCGTGTCAGGACTCATCCTCGTCTTCGTTCTCTGACCTGTCAATCATGTTTGTTGTTGTTAAGCAGCTTTTTTTATATCATTGAACTTTTTCTAAAGATCATTTTTCTGCTTTTTTACAGACGCCTAACTGGGCTGCTCAAGACTCGGGCTTCTACTAGAGTGAAGAAGAAGATCCAGATGACTTATTTATTTTTGCTTTTTTATTGTATTTATTAAATGTATTTCATTGTTATTTAACTTCCTGCTGCTCTCATTAAAACACAGATCCACTCACCTTTGACCTCACCGGGTCTTTATTTCTCTTCATCTTTGGATAACTGTAAAATTAACTTAAATAAATTAAAGTTTAACGGTCTTTCAGAGAACCCTTCTGTCCCTCTTTCTCACATGTGACCACTAGATGGTGCAGACGGACTATTTATGTTTGACTCACAGTTTCAATGACGTCTGATTGAGCCTCTTGATCTGACATTTAGATGATTTTGTGAGTTTGTGTTTCTGAGTGTGAGACTCTGAGTTTTCTGTCACTCTTGTTTTTATAGCAGGATGTCAGTAAATCTGAAACCACGCCTCCATCCTGATGATCGTGGACGGGCGCCGCTGAGCAGACGGCTGAGACAGTATATCCTCTGTAAATATTTGACCTGAGTGAAAGTTGGACCAGTCTTCAGTGTCATTCCTCTGTTCTCACCTTCAGGACTCGGTCTGTCAGGGTAATGGCGGCGCTGTAAAGACGCCGTGTCTCTGTCATTACTGAAATACCTGCTGGCGTGTTTCCAGGTGAGGAGGGCGTGAAGAAGCTCCAGGTGCTCCTCGGCTCCGGCCTCCAGGATTCCTTCTGATGTTCAGAAGTCTGGGAGGGGCCGTCAGACGTCAGGCCACTCCTCCAAACTCTCCTCTCTCTCTGTGCACACTCGCACTTCTTTTTTTTCTTTCCAGGCCCCCGTAAAACACACACACACACACACACACACACACACACCAGCGAGAGCTGACGTGGGCTGAGGTCTGAGACGGGCTGCCTCTGGAACAGCTGGGATCCATCTGTGGTTGCTGTTGCTCTGGTTGCTGCTGCTGCTGTTGCTCCTTCCTTCCTTCCTGCCGCCGCCGTGGAGAGGACTGAACGCGGCGGTCCATTCATGCTGCGCTCACTCTGAGGAGCAGACGAGAACAGAGAGACTCCGTCAGCATGGATATCCTGACGGTCTGGGCCGTCACTAACCCCGCTGTGGCCCGGCTCCTCTGGGTTCTCCTCCTGGTCCTGGCCACCCTCCTGGTCTGGCTCTTCTTCTTCTGCTGCTACAGCTGGAACCAGAGCTCCTCGCCGTCCCTGGAGAGGTACCTGGAAGGTAGGTGGGTGGGCCCTCACACACCCCCTTTTGGTGGGTGTTTGGAGGCCTGTGATTGGCTAACAAACACACAGATGCTGCTTCATGGTTTTCTTCTGAGGCTGAAAAGGAACTTCTCTCTCTTTTTTTTTTCTCCTGTAATTGAAAGTTGTTTCCTCTCCAAGTCTGAGTTTCCACATTTTCCTGAGACTGCCTCGCTCTCTGCGGTCTGAGCTGCTCTGATCACTCTTTAAACTCTTCAGAGAGGACATGAGAGAGGACACAGTGGCTCTTTGATTCTCATTAGTGCACTAAAACGGGTTTATTCTGAAGACGTGACGGCGTGCCAGCACATGCAAACCCCCCCTCTAACAAAGAGAGAGAAACCGAACTTTAGAGTCACACTGCTCTGTAAAAACTTCACTCAATACTGTGATGAAGTGACAGCTGGAGGGTTTGTATCGTCATGGTAACTGTCACTGCAAACACACGCGGTTACTCCAGGAAGAGTGACTCAAACCCTCCGACGCTTCAGTTGACCACACGTCTGTGATCATGTTGTGAATCATGTTCTTCTCTCTGATCTTTGACTGTTTGTTTTCTCTTTTTCTCAGTGATGGTGAAACAGTCCAGATCCAAGAGCCACTCTCAGGTGAGGAAACACTCTCTCTGTTTAAAAATAGAAACCTGAATCATTCACACCCAGAACTGTCACACTTCATTCCTCACATTCCCGCTCAGCTGTGATTAAATCCATTCAGCACAGACGACACAGTCAGGGTGTAATACCGGCCTCAGACTTTAGGGGTCCTCGTTCACCTGCAGTTTATTCAGCGTCACATCCAAACCCACTACATCCCCAGAAACACGAGTACGAGTTTGTGACACAGTAAAGTGAGATTTGTGAGAATAACCAGAAACAGTTTTGATAATTCTCACAAACACGAGGATCCGTTAGAGACAGGAAGTCGTTTTCTCTTAAACCTCCTGAAAGACCAGAGCAACTAAAACATGATTTAAAGTCTGAGGAACCTTCATGTAATATCTCTGTGCCGAGTCTGTCATCTTTTAACCGCTGAACCGTGTCTTTATCTGTGAATATAAAAACAGACTCGATCTTCAGCAGCATTAAAAATCACTGTTTAAAAACTCACTCTTCTTGTATCATACTGAGGAATCAGTACGACTGACGGTCTGTTTCATCAATAATAAAAACTTTATTTATAAGCACTTTTTAAAACAAGAGATTAAAGAACAAGTGCTTTAAACAAAGAAAGACAAAAACAACAGAAGAGGACGCTCGGGGACATAAAAGCTGTGATGAATGTCACATGAGCGGAGACGTCACTAAAACAAAGACATTATAAGAGTCTGTGAGACTAAAGAACCAACACAGGAACCAACCACAGAAACCCGAGACCGAGGGGACGATTTTAAAACAGGAATAAGAAAAATAAAAGGTTTTAAAAAAGACAAAATCACGTAGAATCAAGTCCATAAAAATGAGTTTTAACATGTGATCGAAAAGCTGTGACTGTTCCTGTGAACCTGATCTCCTCAGATCAAGAAACCCCTCAGAACAGGGCCGGCCCGAGCCTTAAGCAACACAGGCGGTCCCTGAGGGCCACAACCAGTGAGGCCCCCAGACGGAAGACAAAAATACTGTATTTTTCGCCCTATAAGGCGCACCTGATTAAAAGGCGCACCGTCAATGAACGCTTGTATTTTCATACATAAAACACACCGGATTATAAAACGCTTTACACCAAATAAAACAGTCTGATAAGACAAACTTTATTTAACTGATTTAATAACTCCGCGAGGCTGCGGCAGCTGCAGAGCTACGACAAAACAAAAGGATTTTAAGTGCGCCTTATAGTACGGAAAATAGGGTAACCAGCTCGCTAGTTCTAGACCGGACATGGACGACCGGCAGCTCAGGGACTTTTGTGAGACATCGAATGGACCGACAGTTTATGTAATGTGGCCCCCCGGAATGAGAGTGGAAATGTAGTGGCAAAATGGAGGGCCACAACCAATATCAGGGGCCCCATCACAACCCCACCCAAACCAATAGGGAGGGACATGGGATCGAGTGTCTTTTACACACTTCTAATTCAGTTAGTCCTCGTGACACAAACTCGACAAAACTGCAGACATTTGAAGATCTTATAAACTCTCCTGGACAAACCCGGACAGCCTCCTAAAGAAGAGGACATGTCCGGGTGAAAGAGGACGTAAGGTCACCGTACGCATAGAAATCAAAATAATTGATCTGGTGATCATTTCTCACGTGAAAACTAAGAGCGGCTCGACCAGATTTAGCGCCGATCTGTCGGTTTAATGTGGAGATATTTCTGTCCCTCCTGCTGAAACGTTTTCACCGCTGACTCGTGCGGACCTGCGGTGACTCATCCTACAGAACAGATCCTGTTTTTGCAGCGGACGCCCTGACTCAGAATCAGGGGAAGTGATGCACCAAACGTCTCAAACAAAGATCCCTGAAACGTGCAGAACCAACAACATCTCAGAGTTTAGACATCAAACGTGCCGAACATCCCCTCACATGACCCCGCACAGGAAGTGGTTTCTATCCTCCTATAAGACCGAAGCTCTGTACTGTAATAACCATCAGCAGCTGCCACACGATGGGTGCTCATGTTAAACCGGGCGATCTGTCAGCGAGCGCCCAGCCCCCCCTCAGAGTGTGTTGGCAGAGGCGCAGCGTTGAGTGTTGTTACACAGTGGAGCAGCACTGTGGCTCATTGTGAGCGATAAAGTTCGAGAGGCTCTCTGAAACGGCTCCATGAAGCTCTTTGTCTGAGAGCGCCGACACCACAGCAAAGGTTCGATTCTTCTGCTGCGGCGTGGAGACGTGTGTGAGGTCCACGTCTGGAGGACTTCACAGACTTTTAAAGCTCCTGTGAGGAACTTTCATGTCTCAGCGTCTCTGATTCTGTCCTGATGTTTTACACTGACGTCACAGGAGGCAAAGAAACGCACAACTGCAGTCACCACCACAGGGTAGTAGGATCACAGGAGTCTCTTAATGTAGCCCTGTAATTACTCATTTATCCACAGGGGGCGCCAAAACTGACACAATGTGAAACGTCCTCATTGGAGCTTTAACCGTAATTCACCAAATTAACATCCATGTTTTAGTTTTGGCAAACGAGAAACCGTTTTGTAAAGCAGTGATTTTCTTACAGAGTCTGAACAAACAAACAAACAAAGAATAAACAAACAAACAAACAAACAAAAAATAAACAAACAAAAAATAAACAAACAAACAAAGAATAAACAAACAAACAAACAAACAAAAAATAAACAAACAAACAAAGAATAAACAAACAAACAAACAAAAAATAAACAAACAAAAAAATAAACAAACAAACAAAGAATAAACAAATAAACAAACAAACAAACAAAAATAAACAAACAAACAAACAAACAAAAAATAAACAAACAAAAAATAAACAAACAAACAAAGAATAAACAAACAAACAAAGAATAAACAAACAAACAAACAAAGAATAAACAAACAAACAAAGAATAAACAAACAAACAAAAAATAAACAAACAAAAAATAAACAAACAAACAAAGAATAAACAAACAAACAAACAAACAAAAAATAAACAAACAAACAAAGAATAAACAAACAAACAAACAAACAAAGTTCACTGTTGTTTATCTGCAGTTTGTCATCTTTATGTAAAAACTATTAAAGGTCTTTTTGTTTCTTTGATGGAAGATAATTTTGTCGACCTTCCTGCGTCTGTTTCTGAAGTGTGTAAACCATCAATGTTAACGATGACGGGGGAGACTTCAG